AAACTCTCACACACCAAGTATTACGGAGTTGGGTGGCACTTTATGGCGTGTTGTGTTCCTGCCTCTGGTGCTTTGGGGTGGGTTGGTGCTTGGGTGGTGGCTTGGTGCTTTGTGGGTGGGTTGGTGCATAGGGTGCTTGGGTGGGTTGGTGCTTGGGTGGGTAGGGTGGATTGGGGCTTTCAGGGTGCTTTTGTCAGGATGAGTGTGTAAGGTACCTTTGACATTGTCAGGGTTTGTGAATATGGGTGCAATTCGCTATAGTACATACCAAACTTCGGGGAAGTGAGGTTAGGCACCATTCTCTAACTGAACATGTGAGAAAATACTGAAGCACTGAAATAAGATCGAACTCACGTCATTGGACTCCCGAGACACACGCTCTGCCAATTAAACCATGATGTTCCTGAATATTTTAATGATAATTCGCTTTCAAGGGAACTGGAAGCCTGAGTATATATATATATATATATATATATATATATACTTTAGGCTTGTATCGAAGTCCCCCTAAGGTCGAACTACTGACTCCTTCCTTGGATGCAACCCCACAACAATTGCTTAATTCTAAGTTGCTCTAACCCAACAAATTCTAACCTAACCTAACGAAAAAGAAGGAAATAAAATGTTTTATATATATGGTGTTTATGAGATGTATGACGTCTTTATGAAGCCATAATGTTCATTTCGGTGCAGGTTTTAGAGCCTACTCAAGTGTTGAGAGCGTGACCTTGAGGGAGTGGAGGGGCCAGAGTGAGGGTGTTTTGCTGGGTAGATGCTGTGAGTTAGGCCACCCGCTACCATCTACTGGAGTAAATGGCAAGGGGGTTGTGATGCAAAAAGTGGGTTTGTGTGCTTTCTTGTGTCGGGAAGGGTACCGCCTTCGTGTGTGTGTGTGTGTGTGTGTGTACTCACCTATTTGTACTCACCTATTTGTGCTTGCGGGGGTTGAGCTTTGGCTCTTTGGTCCCGCCTCTCAACTGTCAATCAACTGGTGTACAGATTCCTGAGCCTACTGGGCTCTATCATATCTACATTTAAAACTGTGTATGGAGTCAGCCTCCACCACATCACTGCCTAATGCATTCCATCCGTTAACTACTCTGACACTAAAAAAGTTCCTTCTAACGTCTCTGTGGCTCATGTGAGTACTCAGTTTCCACCTGTGTCCCCTTGTTCGCGTCCCACCAGTGTTGAATAGTTTATCTTTGTTTACCCGGTCGATTCCTCTGAGGATTTTGTAGGTTGTGATCATGTCTCCCCTTACTCTTCTGTCTTCCAGTGTCGTAAGGTGCATTTTCCCGCAGCCTTTCCTCGTAACTCATGCCTCTTAGTTCTGGGACTAGTCTAGTGGCATACCTTTGGACTTTTTCCAGCTTCGTCTTGTGCTTGACAAGGTACGGGCTCCATGCTGGGGCCGCATACTCCAGGATTGGTCTTACATATGTGGTGTACAAGATTCTGAATGATTCCTTACACAGGTTCCTGAACGCTGTTCTGATGTTAGCCAGCCTCGCATATGCCGCAGACGTTATTCTTTTTATGTGGGCTTCAGGAGACAGGTTTGGTGTGATATCAACTCCTAGATCTTTCTCTCTGTTCGTTTCATTAAGTACTTCATCTCCTATTCTGTATCCTGTGTTTGGCCTCCTATTTCCACCACCTAGTTTCATTACTTTGCATTTACTCGGGTTGAACTTCAACAGCCATTTGTTGGACCATTCACTCAGTCTGTCTAGGTCATCTTGTAGCCTCCTACTATCGTCCTCAGTTTCAATCCTCCTCATAATTTTTGCATCATCGGCAAACATTGAGAGAAACGATTCTATACCCTCTGGAAGATCATTTACATATATCGAAACAGTATAGGTCCAAGGACTGACCCCTGCGGTACTCCACTCGTAACGTCTCGCCAATCTGAGACCTCACCCCTCACACTGACTCGTTGTCTCCTGTTACTTAGGTACTCCTGTATCCAACGGAGTACCTTCCCTTTCACTCCAGCCTGCATCTCTCCAGTTTTTTCACTAACCTCTTGTGTGGCACTGTGTCAAAGGCTTTCTGACAATCCAAAAATATGCAGTCTGCCCACCCTTCTCTTTCTTGCCTTATTTTTGTTGCCAGGTCGTAGAATTCAAGTAACCCTGTGAGGCAGGACCTGCCATCCCTGAATCCATGTTGATGCTGTGTTACAAAGTTCTTTCGCTCCAGATGTTCCACTAGCTTTCTTCGCACAATCTTCTCCATCAACTTGCATGGTATGCAGGTTAGGGACACTGGTCTGTAATACGTTAGCTGCTTTCCAAATTTCTGGCAGTTCCCCTGTTGCCAGTGATTTGTTATACACCATGGAGAGCGGGAGGCACAGTTCTTCTGCTCCTTCCTTTAGTATCCAAGGTATTTAGTATTTAGTGTGTGTGTGTGTGTGTGTGTGTGTGTGTGTGTGTGTGTGTGTGTGTGTGTGTGTGTGTGTACTTACCTAATTGTGCTTGCGGGGGTTGAGCTTTTGGCTCTTTGGTCCCGCCTCTCAACTGTCAATCAACTAATATAGAGATTCCTGAGCCTACTGGGCTCTTATCATATCTACACTTGAAGCTGTGAAGTTTGAAGCTGTATGTGTATGTGTATTCTTCTGTAACCTTATGCTTGTATCTGTAAATACATATAGGTCAAACTGTGGGTGTATGTTCAGACATGTAAACATGACCTTGAACACATTCACCCGTGTGGGTGCCGACACCTTTATGCCAGTTGCCACGTGTGTATATTTATTTACTATTTATGTCTGCAGGATCGTGCTGTTAGCTCTTGGACCCCGCCTTTCTAACCGTCTGATGTTCAATGCACTGACTCCCGACATATTTTTCTGTCATATCTACTACGTATAATTCTCACACTCTTCCCCAGGATGCAGCCCGCAACTGTGTCAGTAATTTATATTAACTGCATAATATAAATACATGTGTAATTTACACTGGAGAAAATTATTGTCAGTCTGAGGGCCTGCTGTAGTGGAGTATGTAACATGGTTGAGTGAGTTTCCCAGCAAAGGCTCTCGAATGTGTTGATTAAGTATGTTTGAGTGTGTGTCCTGAGGAAGTCTTGGGGTTACGTCCCGAGTGATTTTCGCGAGTGTATCTTGAATGAGCCTCCGAAGTGCAAGTGTGTTAGACAGGAGTGTTTCAGAAATGTGAGTGCTCCTTAGGCGAGTATCTCACGAGTGATTCAACAATTAGCGATGCATTGGATGTGAAAGGCCTAAACAAATATTACCGCAGTGTGGACGTTTTTAACACTCAATTAAAAACAGAAGTAAATAAATAAACTCCCGTTACAATTTCCACTTCTAAATCACAGTTCTCCATCGGCCAAACGGAGAAATTCCGTCTCTCACCTCGGGATAGAGGCAGAGCGAGCGAGAGAGAGAGAGAGAGAGAGAGAGAGAGAGAGAGAGAGAGAGAGAGAGAGAGAGAGAGGAGAGAGAGAGAGAGAGAGAGAGAGAGAGACAGACAGACAGACAGACAGACAGACAGACAGACAGACAGACAGAGAGAGAGAGAGAGAGAGAGAGAGAGAGAGAGAGAGAGAGACAGAGAGAGAGAGAGACAGAGAGAGAGAGAGAGAGAGAGAGAGAGAGAGAGAGAGAGAGAGAGAGAGAGAGAGAGAGAGAGAGAGAGAGAGAGAGAGAGAGAGAGAGAGAGAGAGAGAGAGAGAGAGAGAGAGAGAGAGAGAGAGAGAGAGAGAGAGAGAGAGAGAGAGAGAGAGAGAGAGAGAGAGAGAGAGAGAGAGAGAGAGAGAGAGGAAACATTAAGTATAATGACTCATCTCAACCTTGACTAGCCCAGGCTGGACGAGGCATGTCAGCAGTATTTGACCAACCTTATGTTCCAAGCAAACGTTCTGAAGGTCTCTCACCTGGCCTTACCAATACCCTCCAGACATAATACCTGAAAGTCTAAGACCAGGGGGGTGGGGAACCTTCAGCCATATGGCTTCATGCCGCCTTTTAAGGCACTCAATAAGGCCTTCGAAAGTAATTTAATCTATTGAAACACTTGTAAGTTTGTTTTTGACATATCTGAACGTATACCGAATATAATTCAAAGTGGTGCCTTATGAAATCTTCGCTAAGTATATATGGTTTTCCAAATGACATAAGGTCCCCAACCCTGCCTTGGATAAATTAGGACGAGGAGCTGGGATATATGAGGACGAGCAACTTTACCTTTACCTATAAAGGAGAAAGTGTTAAAGCAACGTTAAGAAAGTGTTAAGTTAAAGGAGCAACTAACCTTTGCATGTAAAGGAGAAAGCATTAAGCCAATACAACTATATAGCAGTTGGAAGGACTATGGGGGACTAGAATGTGGGATATGACGAAGAAGGAATGGAAGCTAAACCATTTGGAGCGTCGAGGATCGAACACCGACATTGCAACACTAGACGAAGCAAAGGCGATCACTCTGGGATTCCCCAGTAATACTAAGGTAGATATTATAAGTATTCAAGCTCATATTAGCCTCTGAATACATGATCACACTGACAAATTGGTCAAAGCCTATGCTCATTTTGTGTGCAAATTATACTGTGATTTGGAGCTTCGATAAGATTTCATGTGGATACCGTGTAATTACCTGAAGCTTAACACACAACACAATCACTTCAAAGACCAGGCTTTAAACGAGTAAAGAAGCAGTGTTAAGTCAGGCAAAGAAAATGTATTTTGACTTATAATATACGCCTCTATCTTTCCATTATCACTTGGACTGGCCAGTACAGCGACGACCTCGCTTCATGCAGGTCGGCGTTCGATCCCAGACGCTCCAAGTGGTTAAACATATATTCCTTTTCTCCGTCATATCCCAGATCCTAGTCCTCATATCCCCTCAAAGTGCTTTACAGAAGTACAGGCTTAGCGCTTTCCCTTTTACTTGTAAAGGTTAGTCAAGAGACTTGATCAAACCCCACGGCGAAGCTAATCCCAAAGCTGCGTTACTCCACAGGTCAACGGGTGTATGCGATCAACGAGGTGGAGCGAGAGTGTCCCCATCTGCACGTTGAGAACGTCACGGTGGAGGTCCGCTACCCCTGGGGCTTCATGGATGCTCTCTTCTTCTCCATGACTGTCATCACCACCATAGGTAAATCACCATCTTGGCCGACTCCATTACCTCCCAAACTTTGGGGGAGCGGAGAGGCTCCACTTCCCTTATGAGGGAGGAGGTTCTCTTTTCCCCAAATGGTTCATTTGGGGAAGTGGAGACTCATTTCTCCTCAATTAGTAGTGGTGGGGAGACGTCACTCCCTTAAATGTGCATGACAGGTGTTTTCAACAGGTATATGTGACAGGTTTGTCTTCAGTTGCATGTTTATTGAGTGTCCTTAATACTTCTATCACTTGCTTTATTCAATACGGAGAAATAAAATATTTTATTTCTTTTTTCAAGCATCAGTGAAGACAATTTTGGTAAGTATAATATGACTTATTGTATATGAAAATACATTATGTTCGCCTACATATAAATTCATGCGTATGTAGATTACATATAAATTCATGCGTATGTAGATTACATATAAATATAAGTAGATGAATATTTATGTATATGAGAGCTGCTTTTGGGGCCAATAAAATTGTATGCAATTACAGACCAATAAACACCATCTCAGTACTTGGTATTTAGACCATATCTAAGCATGTGTAGATATAAGTATAGCCACAATCATTATCAACTACAATCATTATCCCAGACACATATCACTATTTGATTAAATACATTACGGTTTCAGATGCAAAAAAAGGCAACAATCTTTAGATCTAATATCATTACATTAAAAAAAATAAAATGGCATTCCGCACGTTTAAAGTTATATGAACCTGTTGTCAAGTGTTTTCCTACTTTGATGCCATATTTTACAATATTTTTTTGGAGCAGATAATACATGATGTTCCGGCCGAAACCTCATATATAACCTTGTTATAATATTACTTGTCTACAGGAAAATTGTACATGTTAGTCGAAAAGAATGATCAGTATTATGTTGATTGTTTGTGTTGAATAACGTGATAATAGTTTGAGGGACCTTATTCATTTGTGTTTTTATATCTAAATAAACCTATTTCAAGTTCGTGTTAATATTTATTTTTCATTTGATATGTCCACGTGGAATTTCAGTTCCAGATTTACGTGGATGGTGTAAAACACCAGGGGTCAGGATTTATCACGCATTTAAATGCCTGCTTACGAAACCTGTACATCTTTCCCTCAATCATGGCAGCATGGTCTGCAATTACTAAACATTTTATGAGCTAACCACTACGAGGTTGTTTATAACAATAATAACCTTGGGTCGAGAACGACCTCACAGCGTTTCCAAACTCGTAACCTGTTTAGTTAATAAAGACTAAGCCGCTGTAATCGTGGAAAGATGTACAGGTCTCATAAGTGAAAACGTAAAAGCTTAATTTGTGTGTTTAAACATTGTTTAATGCAACAAACATCAGTAGATTGTAACTACAAATATTTTTCCTAGTAGGGATATGCGGCTCTCCATAAAAGACACTTTAGGTAGCAGGTCCCATATTACCGAATTATTTATACCACTGGTGGAAACAAAATATATTGGCCCTTGCGTCTCGTACTTACGACACCAAACCAACCTCTGGCCAGCATATCAAAGACTTGCCATCTGCTAACACACATTTATCTTCCACGGACCCACACTTGTGGAAATTAATATCCGAGACCTTTAGTATCTTGCTTCACGTACAATTTCTCCAGAAGTTAAAGAAACTCGCCTGCTATTTGGTTCTCTGAGTTCATTATCTTTTCAAATAGTCTATTTTCACCACTTGTTAACTGTGTATTTGTGACACGAGTTCAATCTTCCTTGTCTTCTTTCCTTTTGGGAATTTCTCCAAAATGTTTACAAACTGATGTGTTATCATAGTGACCATTCTCAGCTGGTCTGGCCTAAACATGGTGTCGCGCACCTTTGTTACCCTTCTCATTGCGTGACTGTGTAAATTCTCAAGGTTCAGGAATTTAGTTATATCATTTAATAATACACTGGAGATATAACTGAGGTATAACTACATACACACACCAGCTGATATACCCCAAGCCGACTTCCTCCTTCGTACCCCCTTGATGGGCATTATCACCAATATATTTATTCAATATTATTTGCATATTAGGCACCTAATCCTCAAATCTGAAAATAAATGGAGGGTAATTATCAAGGGAAAGTGCCAAACCATTACGACTATATAGCACTTGGAAGGGATCAGGATAAGGATTTGGGGTGGAAGAGGAGAAAGGTATGGTGCCCAACCCCTTGCACGGTCGGAAATTAAAGTCTGACCTACATGAAGTGAGACCGTCGCTCTACCGTCCAGCCCAAATGGTTGGACAAAATAAAGGAGTCGATGACGTTTCGATCCGTGCTGTATCATTATCACGACTTGATAATGATCCAGGACGGACCCAAATGTCAATGCATTTATTCTCAGATTTGTGGGTTGGGTGTCTAATTCTCAGCTACATTATTGTGACTTATTGTCTGTATTTGAATATATCATTCTGCCGTCTTCAATTTATGTCACTTTCCATGTCCTGTCTACTTTGCCTCTCGGTTTCCCCAGCTCTTTGACATTAGATCTCCTTTACCCTCGAAGCTCCTGTCTGAGCAGAGTAGCACCGGCGTAGTTACTGCCATTGATTTCTGTCCCTCGTACACTTCTTCCTCACTCATTCCTCACATTCTCATCATATCCAGGATACGGGAACATATCGCCATCGCAGGCCCCGGCGCAGATAACGTGCATCTTGTACTCTCTGGTCGGGATCCCTCTCACCGGCATCCTGCTAGCCTGGTCCTCAGAGTTCTTCGGTGAACAACTCTTCAAACTCTTCAAGTCAAAGGTAAATGTTCATCAGGATTGGTGAGTGGGAGAGATAAGAATCACGGAACCGACAGACGGCCTATTGGGCCATATGAAGTAGCTTCTATTTATATACATACAAACTCATGTCTAACCTACGCTTGAAACAATCAAGTGATTGACTGTTGACCAGACCACACACTAGAAGGTGAAGGAACGACGACGTTTCGGTCCGTCCTGGACCATTCTCAAGTCAATTATCAATCGACTTGAGAATGGTCCAGGACGGACAGAAACGTCGTCGTCCCTTCACCTTCTAGTGTGTGGTCTGGTCAACATACTTTAGCCACGTCATTGTGACTCATCGCCTGCAAATGATTGATTGTTTCAGTCAATCCACTACCCCTCATCACTGCAAACAACCAGTAATGCTACCGACAACCATCATTCCCTCCACCACCGATCGACAATAACCATTCCCTGCCATACCCATCACCACCAAACACCACCATCATCACCACCTAAACCATTCCCTTCCTCCCACCAGCTGGACGTACAGAAGCAACATTCCCGTGGGGTGATTGCTATGGCAACGGCCATCTACATCTTTATTGGCTTCGTGGTGTTCATCTTCATCCCCGGGGCGGTGTTCGTGACCCTGGAGGAGTGGACCTACGTCGAGAGCATCTACTACGCCTACATTACCCTCACTACCATAGGCTTCGGCGACCTAGTACCTGGTAAGTACTTCTTAGTACTTAGGTATTTGGATATCTAAGTTATTACTCCAGTACCCAAGTTATGTCTTTTTTCGTGGGGGAAGTCTGCCAATTTGTAATTCTGTATATGTGTGATATACAGGATAATTAAGAGATAAAGCTTGTTGTATCCTATACACATTCATTCAAGATTTCCACGAGGGAATAGTTTAGTTGATCAATACAGTCAAGATTCCCCTGAGGGGAAAATGTATTTAATTCATATATTCAAGGCCATTATAATATTTCACACTACTGATTTCAAGCGATTTCAGTTAAAACATTTTGTAAATTTCTACTTATTCAAGCAAATAAGTCTCCTTCACATAGAAACAAGAATTTACTGCTCAAAATTTCACGAATTTCTTCTGTTTTTGTATATTAGTTATGTATACCTATCTTCGTCTTGCAGATTAAGAGATGTTTCCTTACGCATTTGTCAGCAATTGTTACATTTAACTTTATTTCATTTAACTGTTGCAAGGTTATTGATCTTTGATAATTATGACAACTTTTTACCGATGAGTTCCCATATTGTTTACATAGATTTATTTTCATGTATTTTGGTTTCTTGCACTACTGAATACTTATACTTTGTACTCTTGCGGGTTTACGAAGGAGGATGGGACTCGTCGTACAGAGTCCCATCCACAGTACACAGTACACAAAAGTACTGATGGCTGTGAAAAATATATCCAACTCAACATAATTCCTTTTGCTACACACTTATATTTTGCCCTGTGAGAGTGACACTTCTCTCAAATTATTCCTTATTTAATATCTTTCATGACTACATGACCAGTAGATGTTTGAGACGTGTTCTCTACAAGTGAACAAGAGATGTATGATTTATTCTTTACTAATCTGTGTGTTATCTCCTTCACACGTTGATATAACGCAAAATTCAAGCATCAGATGCATTAATCTCTATTCCCAGCTTTTATATACCAGACATCAGTTCTCTCCATTTTATATCCTGAAATTTATGTTATTTATTATTACTATTAAAATTCTGTTTTTCTTGCTGCATTTGTTTCGTCTTCATAGCTGAGGGCTTGTATGCACTTATAATTATGATAGTAATCATACTCATGGAGGAATCTATATGGTCTGTTATTAAAATTCTTGAATATTAATTCAGGATTGTGTAGAGGTGTCGGGATTCGGGTCAGTGATCCTCTCTGGCGACACGAAGCATTATCATACCACCGAACATCAATGTTCGTTCACCTGGCCTTATTTCCAACCTTGGCTTCAATGTCCCTCTCGCCAGAGTAAAGAAACTGAAAACAGAGTAAATGGCTCCTGATAGTACCTATGTTAAAAACAAATAACACCTTCGCACTCAACACACTTTTCCGGCAGGCCAAGGTTACGACGGATGGTCGCTGTATATCTACCAGATCTGTGTCATCTTGTGGGTGTTGATCGGCCTGGGCTACTGGGTGATGGTGGCCAACTTCATCACAAAGGCCCTCAAGTCGAAGAAGCTACAGAGCTCCGTGATGCGCAGCGCTGAGGAGATGAGGAAGATCATGCAGCAGATGGGTATTAAGCAGCATGACCCGACCTTCCTCAGGCAGCACTCTAAGGCTACTCTCAATCTCATGCTTCAGGTAATATAGGAGGGAAATCTGCGAGGAACAAGGGATTTGGGTTTTAAGCAATAATCAAAAAAAGGCGTCGAGCCTGCAAGAGTATTTAATACTGGCCGAGTCACATAATATTCAACAATTCCTAGATATCATTCAGCATGCTAAAACGAGACAAAAAACATACGACGAACGATATCAAAGGAATCAGATTCATCGAGGATTGTATCGAGACACATAACTTAAAGGGACAGTGACGAATTGAGGTAATGGTCCATGTAAGTGAATAGTAGATTAGCAACCCGTCCTCCTATAATAACACGTCGCATTTTGACGTATACTTTACCTAAGGCCAAAAACGGTCATATTACACACCTCGTACGCGCAAGCGCACGCATACAATCTATGTGTGTGTGTGTGTATTATAATATATATATATATATATATATATATATATATATATATATATATATATATATATATATATATATATATATATACCCCCTTCTACCCTACCCCCGCAGCTCCTCCACCTCCTCCCTTTTTAACTTTGGTCGAGAGTTCTCCGGATGCGCTGTTTATCTGGGGTAACCCGATCAGTCAAACCAGAATTAGTACCGGAAACTTTATTCATATATATATATATATATATATATATATATATATATATATATATATATATATATATATATATATATATATATATATATATATATATATATATATATATATATATATATATATATATATGACAATGTCAGACCACGGAGGAAAAATGAAACAGGAATTTCCTTAAGTACTTTCGTATATTAATACATCTTCAGAAGGAGTGAAGGAGAAGGAGACTCATCTTCAGAAGGAGACTCCTTCTGAAGATGTATTAATATACGAAAGTACTTAAGGAAATTCCTGTTTCATTTTTCCTCCGTGGTCTGACATTGTCACATTTTTAATCACGTGTTTATTTTCGTGATATACACACACACACACACATATATATATATATATATATATATATATATATATATATATATATATATATATATAATGGTATCCATTATAGTTTAGGTTAGTGTGAGTTAGGGTAGGTTGGATTAGATTGGGATAGAATGGGATGGATTGGGTTGGAATTGACTAGGAGTGCCTAAAGAGTAGCAATGACAGCCGAGTCAAACTTTCTTCAGGTAAAAGCCTAACTTGTATGAATACACTCTGGCTTCCTGTCCCCCGACACAGTGAATGATTATAAGTATACGGTAACGGTAATATATACAGCAACCTCGACTATCCCTGCATGGGGGCTTCCTGTCCCCAGCAAGATGGTAAATATATTCCTTTATTTGAAACATCAATATTAACGCAGGCGATGAGGCACAATAACGTGGCTAAAGTATGTTGACCAGACCACACACTAGAAGGTGAAGGGACGACGACGTTTCGGTCCGTCCTGGACCATTCTCAAGTCGACTGAGACTTGAGAATGGTCCAGGACGGACCGGAACGTCGTCGTCCCTTCACCTTCTAGTGTGTGGTCTGGTCATCAATATTAACATTAGGCTTCGTTTTTTTGTATTAGTATTTCAATTTCACGTACAAAATCAGAAATTTAACTAAGCGTTTTGGCGTTAAAAATAAACTCGTAAATAACACAGTTACCCCAACTCTCCGCGTAGTTTTCTTTGATGAATTAAACTAATAGGTTTTTTCTTATGCAAGATAATAAGGTAAAACAACAATTAAAAGACCTTAGTATAAAATATATTGCCTATAAAATTGATAATTTACAACGTATAATGTGGCTCTCCTACCACTATACCAGCTGTAATATAGGCAGAAATTAAAGGTCACTTGATCCTAAACCAGTTTTTATACTCAATATCCTACCACATTATGTGTTGTTTTAGCTGAATTCCTGCTAATCTTTCTAACATCGTCCTCTTCGTTATGTCCCATCATAGGGAACATGAAGCCTGTTAGTCTTATACGGAGGACACAACAGGTCAACTATTAATGTTCCTCAAAGTTGTGTGGGTGATTAGATATGTATGTGTATGTATATGTGTATACGTATATATATATTTACATGTATGTATGAGAGTGTGTACATGTGTATACAACATTAATAATTTTGTAACTAGCGTAAAAAAATTTATTTGCTTAGCTAAACGAACTAGAGGGTTCAGTTCCTGAACCGATTATGTGCCTCTGTAATCCTTTACACCACCGCCCACGGGATGGGTATGAGGTGCATAATAAAGAAAGAAATTGAATCAAAGATGCAACCCACAACAGTTGACAAACTCCCTAGATACCAATTTACTCTTAGTTGAACAGATATATCAGGTGAAAGAAACCGTTGGCCAAAAGTCTTGCCAGTCAGGGAAATGAACCCGGGTCCAATAGTTTGTGACCCGACTGTGTCACCCACTGTTTCATTATTATTATTATTATTATACAATATAGTGTAGTACAGTTGGTTTCGTTTTTGACTCAATCGGGGATCGCGGGTTGGATTCCCGGGAGGTACGGGAATGGTTGGGCACGTTTTCTTTCACCTAATGCATCTGTTCCCCTAGCGATAAACGAGTACCCGGGAGTTAAGCAACTGTTTGTGGGGGTTGAATCCTGGGGAAAATCAGTTCCACCTCAATATAAACCTAACAAATTAATAAGGAAATTACCTCGTTTGATTCGTTCACCGAAAATCTGTTTATATTTCGGGGTTAAGGCAACCCAATTACGTCATGCTGATGTAGCGTAGCTAGTGTGCCATTGGGTTAAATGAATAAGACAACTATTATTGTATTACTGCACACGTGAAATAAAGGAACAAATGCAAGTGCACAATAAGCGTAGCAGTTTTGACGCTTTAGGCGAGCAACATAATTATTATTTTAAGAATTATTATTATTAATATTACACACAAAAATCGCAATAACGTGAGATATCAAATGAACAAATCCACAAGGGCTTTGTTTCACACATTTCCCCCCCCTCCCTATACATTCTGATTCTGTCAACCAAATAGTTCTACCTAAGTAGTAGGGGCATCAGAACTGTGTGAAACCCCGGTTAAGGCTTCGGTGGAAGCCTCGGGATCCTCGTGGGGGCAGTAGCACTCCAGGTTGCAATCTTTTTACCATGTGGAACAGTTGACTAGAGCGCGCCTGGGAATATCCAGTGCATAGGTTCGAATCCTCATCAAGGCCCTCGTAGATTTGATTATTATTATTATTTTGTTTTAATTTGTTAATACTGCATATCATTGTTACTTTCATAATTAATAAAAATTATATTTATATATAAACATTACAAATTGCTAATTATATTACTATAAACCTAATTAGCTATAAGTTATAATTATTAGTTTTGTAATTATAAATATTATACAGGCAATGTCTCGTACAGCAAATCTTGATCAAATTCTCTTATTATTCTGCACTTTCTAGAACTAGATTATTTCAGACAAATTGGGCTTTATCATGTAGCCTTCAAGACAACGTTCAGTGAACCTGTTCTTCCACAGCTGAGCAACATCATCGCGGTGCAGGGAGGAGGGACGGATAACGGGATAGGCGTGAACGGCAGCGGTCCTTCATCTCCCGGGGGCCACAGCTCCCCAGCCTCCCCGCCACTCTCACCCATTCCTGGCATCTCGGCTCTCTTTGGCAACGGTCTCTCGCGGTCGGCCCCACTCAGCCACCTCATGGGCCCCATGCGTAGGGAGGTGAGGGCTCTTTCTCACTCTCTCATGATCTGGTCAAGAGATATGTACTTCTTTCTCTCTCTCTCATGATCTGGTCTAAAGATATGTACTGCTCTCTCTCGCGTGATCTGGTCTAAAGATATGTACTGCTCTCTCTCTCTCTCTCTCTCTCTAATGATCTGGTCTAAAGATATGTACTACTTTCTCTCTCTCTTGTGATCTCATCCCATGTTCCTTATTGTTTTCTCTCATGAACGTATCATATTCCTTAGTGATCTATCATGATCTTATCCCCCATTATCTTTTCTCTCATATGCTTATCTCATGTTCTTTATCGCTTACTCGGAAAGCGCACTAGTTTTCTCTTATATAGATCTTTAACTTATTAAGAATTTCGTAAATCATTAATTTTCTATATGGGCTAAGGATACTGCAGCTTTGCTATAGAAATATGATGTTAAACGTTAAAAACCTTCATATCCAGGGGGTAAAGCGACCCAATAATTGAGTGGGAACTTCAAGACACCCGCTAGTCCCTGAAAATCGAAACTCTGGAAATATGTTCAAGAGCGAAGAAAGGGGAAGAAAGATTAAACATTGACCACTCGTGCAGTCATGTCAACATTGACCATTCCTTCAGCTTAGGACTTTCAATAAAGAAATAACATGGAAATTTTTCCATTAATGAACATCACCACTTTTAGAAAAAATGAAAGTTTAGATATATAGCATCGATCAAGTCACTCAAAATATTTCTAAAGTCCCAAGAACAACACCTAGTTCTTACTAGCTTCCAAATATAAACGTCTCGTCGACGTCCCACGAACGTCACAATGACAATGCTCACCAAAGTTCCAAGGACAACATCTCATCAACGTCCCAAAGTCAACATCTCATCAACGACCCGCGGACAACGTATCACTACCGTCCCAAGATCAACGTCTTGCTTGCGTCCCAAAGGACAACGTCTCACCAGCGCCCCAGGAACAAAGTATATCGCTAACGTCTCAAGTACAATATTGCACCACCGTCCTAGGAACATCTTATTATAGCGTTCCAAAGAACAATGTGTCCCCAACGTCCAAGAGATAAAGGACCAATGAACAGTGAAAGATCCGCAGTAGATACTGCTAGTCGAAAGATATAATGATCTAAAAGGCAAATTTTATTACTAGAGATGTCACAAATAGAGGCAGCCGTATGAGCAAAGGTTTGAAACTTCGTCTCAAGAACAATGACAGTTGCAGGGACCTCTCCAGTCCAACCACTTGGTCTGGACGGTAGAGCGACGGTCTCGCTTCATGGAGGTCGGCGTTCAATCCCCGACCGTCCAAGTGGTTGGGCTCCATTCCTTCCCCCCGTCCCATCCTAAATCCTTATCCTGAACCCTTCCAGTGCTATATAGTCGTAATGGCTTGGCGCTTTCCTTGATAATTCCCTCCCTCCCTCTCCAATCTCCCGTCTAATCAACAGGCTGAACCAGTGTGCGGTTTCAAGATATATATAAAAAAATGTTTGTTGACCTCCCCCCCCCACCCATCGGGGAAATCTAGGCAAACGACGTATATGTAATATTGAATCGACGTTAATCTTATGTCGATTAAACGTAACATGAGCATGGTTTGCCAGCTGTTGACGGATAAAGGCAAAAGATCCTTGGGAAGACCGGGGTGCAGTTCAAAAGCACTGTCTGAACAAGAGGAGAATACCATTAGAGCTAAAAACTGTACGTTTTAAGATTCAGTGGGGCCTTGTGGTCCTTGCTGCCGGACATGTTAACATTAGCCATGTGCTCGGTGACTGTGAGAACAAGAGCAACACCGGAATAATTAAACAAGCAATTGTTTAGAAACTGGGTGACATGGCCTTATAAGGAAGCAACATCTGACCTGAAGGTATCAGGAATCGAACACTGTTATGTGTGGTTTGAGAGATCTTGTTTTGCTTGAGATCATAGGTGATGTACACGTTTGAGAACAGAAGATTCATTCCATTTATAACCCAAAACCTGAATTCGGCAGAATTAGTAAACGGAATGATCACAGAAGAAAATACCCAATATGTGTTCACCAAGAATATGCAAGTTCTTTTCTGAATACCTTTTATTCTCTTCTCCAAGACTATGGGTCGTCACAAGTGCTTTAGATATGGTACCCACTACTTCATAGAAATATATAGTATACGGTAATTATGCAGTTTGGAAAATGTATAGTTAAATGCTGAATGGCATTATCAGAAAAATTTAAATTTTCAGGAATATCTACCTTCAACATTTATAATACAACCCAATTTTTACCTTATCTCTTATAAGTAAAACTTTTCACTAATACGCACGAAATCGTACCTACAATTAAGGTAAGCTTCTGAAACTTATATTTATGGTAAACAAAATATATCTTTATTATCAATATAGTTCAGACTTGGCAACACTGAAATTTGAACACTAAGTTGTCCCTTCTATGTCTAAAGTTACTCGCATGGAATCAATATATATATCAACATATATTTTAAATTATTTTCAGAAAGATACTTAGAACTACTACTCTTAACATCAATAATATAACAATGGCATAATAAAATATATATCACAAAGAAAGGCAGGTATCTACATGCGAATCACCTTCATATATATATATATATATATATATATATATATATATATATATATATATATATATATATATATATATAGTTATGTATATTAATTTATTACTGATAACACCTTTTTTCAGAGGGAAACATCGCTACATTACACATTAACATTCACTAACTGGTTGACGTTGTCGATCTTTCTGTTTTTCTTCTAGGAAAACGATGAGAGTAAATGCACTGAGGAGATAACCACAGTGACCGTAAGGTACAAGTCCTAACCTTAATCTTCACTGGAAAATGTAATTCCCGAGAAGCTATATAAAGCTGTTGTCTCCCCATCCCCGGTAAAAAAAAAAAAGGAAATTCAAATCTTTTAAAAATGAACCTTCAAATGGCTTAATTTCCTTCCCCCAAATATAAAAAAAATAACTGCGTGATTGAGACAAGATTTTAAATACTTGCAAGGAACGAATGCATAAACCCGCATTCAAGGCATGGTTGGCGACTACTGGATTACACCTTCAGCTTAGGCATGTTTGGCCACTCTGACTACCTGCTAATCAATTCAAGGAATGATATATTTTTTTATGTTGAGAGCTAAGTAGTGCAGTGATTTATCGTGATGGAATAAGTGTGTGTGTGTGTGTGGTGTATCACTTAGTTGTGCTTGCGGGAGTTGAGTTTTAGCTCTCTGGTCCCGCCTCCCAACTGTCAATCAACTGGTGTACAGATTCTGGAGCCTATTGTGCTTTATCAAATCTACATTTGAAACTGTGTATGGAGTCAGCCTCCACCACATCACTGCCTAATGCATTCCATTTGTTAACTACTATGACACCTAAAAAAATTATTTCTTTCTAATGTCTCTGTGGCTCATTTCGGTACCAAGCTTCCACCTTTGTCCCCTTGTTCGTGTTCCGCCTGTGCTAAAAAGTTTGTCTTTGTCCATCCTATCAATTCCCCTGAGAATTTTGTAGGTTATCATGTCTCCCCTTAAACCTCACGTCCCTGGAAGACAGAAGAGTATCTCCCGTAGCCTTTCCTTGTAGCTTATACCTCTCAGTTATACCTCTTAGTCTGGTGACATACTTGAAACTCTTAAGACATAATCTGAAACTTCTCTAACTTTGTCTTGTGTTGAACTAGGTGTGGACTCCAGGCTGGAGCTGCATATTCCAAGATTGGTCTTACATAAGTGGTATACAAGGTCCTGGACGATTCCTTACACAAATTTCTAAAGGCAGTTCTTATGCTAGCCAATCTAGCTTATTCCGCTGATATCCTTTTGATGTGGGCTACTGGGGACTGGTTCGGTGTGATATCAACCCCCCAGATCTTTCTGTGTGTGTGCGCGCGCACGCGTTGTGTGCGTGCTTGAGTGCCTAAATACATTCTCTGAACTGCAAAATTAAAAATATATATATATTTGAACACCAGATGGTTCAGATTGAATTTGCTACTAGGGGACTGAGTGTTGGTGCTGGTGTCCCTTGTGTTTAGTCAAGTGTTTTCGTCACATTCTTGTTTGTGTGTATTAATGTATCTTCTGTTTATGCTAATTATTTCTCGTTTATCTTTATAAGCACTTGCGTCTGTGTGCGCGCTTCCGTGTGCGTTAGTGTCCGTCTAGAGGTCTATGTGTTTACATGGGGCATGTGTTGTCTACATTTGCTTGATGTAGTGCTACAAAGAGAGCTGTTTCTTTAATAAATATTTGAGAAGTTTTAATACTTCTCTACCGTCATACATGCGAAGAGAATCCCCCAGAATTAAACTAGACACCCTTTACATAGTGCCAATGGCTTTGTTTCCTAGCTTCTAAATTGATTAGTGACTTTACTGTGAAAACTAATCACACAAGCAATGGGGCCAACACTCCTCTGTTGACATGTATTAAAATCACGGCAGCTCCGCCTGCTGCAATGATCCAAATTGAGTAATCTAAATTTGCATGTCTCACAGCATCTTGGGACTCACATGAGCAGAGCGTGCTACGATTACTGTAGCTTGTTGACGAAGTCATATGCTGGCGACTACTTTATAAACAAGTTCAGATCACGAAGCCAGCCCCGCGCGTGTGCTCGAGTGCATTACTAGCGAGACATGCAGAGGGTGCCGGCCATCCGGGTAATGAGGCCGACGGTCCGAGTTGTAGTCACCGGGGTGCATCTTTTCGGTCGATATGCTGCCAAGGGCCGCCAGCCACATGACAACAAAGACTGTCAGAAAAAAGGCACTCGTAGTTCTTTCGTAGATATCTTGCCAATGGAGATTTATGAATCTACCCTTCTGAACGACCAAAGCTTTGAGTTACACCGCCAGATGCGCGCACTCGGGTCCTCGTCGGCACGAAAGATATCTTCAAAACACGTTTTAAATCATATAGCCAAACCCATACACAAGAAATGAAAGTGATAAGGGGATCCAGGACTTGATAAGTGTCCAGGAGGAACCGAAACGTCGTCACTATCATTTAATGTGGGTTGAGTCATTTATTTCAGCAACGTTATTGTCACTTATTTTCCGCTTAAACTTGCTAATATTTTCCTGACAATGCAAGTATTGATTTAAGTGCAAAACAATGCGAAAATTATATATTTTTAAATTGTAAATAATTGCAAGATTACTAACAAATTACATAGAGTTGAATCAATCATCCTCCGTCACAAAAACTAAGTTGCAGTTCACATGAAATGCTCGTAATTGAAATTGTAAAAAAATGTCCTCATTGTAAGTAATAAGTGCTTCAGAACCAATTACCCTTTAATAATGCTTATTATAATAAAGCCTTGCATCATTTTGCAACACCTTCGAAATCATTAAACCATTTTACATTGCATTCCATATTCATCTACTTTGAATAATTTTAATCCATTTAAGTATAATTATTACAAATTATATTCACCGATAGAAACCAATAGATGTCCAAAGAAAGTTTCGATAATTTTTATTAGATTCATCGAACTGTCAGCCTAGAGGGTGGACCTGTGTGAAATATTATTAACGAAACTTCTTTTGGGAAAACTGTTGGTGGCGATCGCAACTTCCCTTACTGAAGTCACAAGAGTGATAAAGGCTCTATCGCTCACAAGAGTGATAAAAGCTTTATCGCTCACTAGAGTAATATAGGCTTTAAAACATCGTGTACAGTTTATCCATTCCTTGATGAACGTAAATATTGAAATGGAACTTCTCCAGCGTACATCCACGGGGGAGACATCTCCCGTCACGCAGGGTGCAGTCGCACCTCCACAGATCTCCAGTATCAGCTAATGATACTGGCGATGGCTCCAAAGGGCCACCACTTGCGGGCTATTCATGTCCGTGCCACCTTTTGGGTGGCTTAATCTTCATCAATCAATCAATCAGCGTACATCAGCGTCATCACTCATGAGTCAGCATAAGTACACATCACCAACTAACAACATAACTATTAAGAGCTGTAGATATTTCTCTCCGACACTTAAAGTCAATGTGAATAGCATTTGACAGTAGTTTATCGCTTAGTTTAATTTGTGCTAAAACTGCTTGTCCGTGCTTTGAGGCACTTGCCTCCTCTTGCTTGTGATGCTTGTACTAAATCGTGTAATAATGAATTCATTTGGTGTGAAATCACTGTATTTGCTCGTGATAAACTCTGGTAATGCTAAAATGCCCGTCTCCTGCTATAATGTTTGTGTCTTGATTGCATCTAATTGTTTAATCATTGTTATGATGAGTTGTGTGTCCGATGAGCTGTAGTTACCTTAATGTTGTTGTCTGCATGTATTAACACCAGCTTTTTCCTTCCTCTCCTTCTCCCATCTCAGCTTGCTATGAGGTGCATTTCGAGAGAAAAGAAACCAGTCACATACGAGCAGACCATCGACCTCTCTGACGAAAGCCCTGCCAGCCTGGAGGTCACCACGAATGATGAAGTCGACCTCTACCACCAAACAGACGAGGTCAAGTTCCGTTCTTCAAAATCAAGCTCTTTCGATCTATTGGATTCTTCATTCGGCCAGTTTCCTTCCTTCGACCCTAAGGACTCGATTCTCAAACCAAAAGCTTCTTTCTTGAAGGCCAATGGCTCCCAAACTACTCTTAGCTCACAGAACAAGTGCGAAGTGATGCTGTCGCTAGACACAGAGGCAATGTCCTAATGATAGTCCACGATTTAGGTCGCGATCCCTTTCAGTGAAATTCATTAAGAGTAGAAATGAAAGTGTTACGTTCAATGTCAGAAGCAGAAGTGTTCTACATATCTGCAGTATTGTCCGCCGTCCCTACAACACAAGTTTGATTGAGTTTCATATATTCAAATCACTGAATATGGCCAGTCTACCGTCACCCCCATGCCATAGCGACATTGTTTAATCAGTGCCTGATCTTCAATGATAGGGCTTGTACGTGCCTAACAATATACCTATTGTGATTGTTGAGGTGTGTTTATTTAGCCCCTTGTTTAGTAGTTGGACAAGAAGTTAAATACCAATAACGTTTTCCTAGCAATGAGCAACTACCCAAAATTAGACCGTGACGTTAAATACTTCTGAATCACGGCCCGTGAGTAGCTCTGGTGATTCCAGAAATAAACCAGAAAACATCACTCACGAAAACGATCTATGCCATTAAGGCTTTCAGCTTAGGTGAGTGTAGATGATACTGTATCACGGTGGTTGTGACGGAGTAATGACTCAACTGACTTCATCATCTAATCTCTCGTCCAGAAGTAACAGATAACCTGCTCGTTTTGTCAGAATATCTCTTCCTTGTCTGATAGAAACACGCTGTGTATCAAACTGTGTGCGCGGTCAAGTTGAAGTGTTGACCCCTGGTTACTGTCAACCTAAGTGAGGTGAGCCATACAGGACAAGTCAGTTACGCCAAAAACACTTTCCCGAAGATGAACAGACTCGAAACTGATTAATTGACCCAGTTCTGGCATTACGTCTAGTAGAACAAGGCAGCACCCGGGATATCTAACGAGTTCTTGCTCGACTCCCACATATTTTTCCACATTCATGTGTTCTAGTCTTCAAATGTTCTGTTTAATTTGCATTTCTCTGATTTATTTAGCTGTCAATGGCTTGAAGTACTCCAATCATGTTCTCATTTCCCATGGTAACTTTCCATTTGTAAATATGACTCTAGGAATCTTTTGTGTTCATGCAGACTGATGAGCAAAGTTACAGAGCTACAACTTTTTAGCTCCTTGTCAGACCTTTGAGAATTTCCTATGTAATAATATTTTTTTCTGAACATAGGTCGTGCTCAATTAGTTTATATTCCACTGTAAATGACCAAAGACTATTTGGAGATGCACAACACGTTTTGCAACCGATAACGTGAGCGAATCTTTCTATTTCAATTGATATCTCTACAATGGTGAACAGTGCGGAACACGGGAGAGAGGAACAGTGCGGAACACGGGTGAGAGGAACTGTGCGGAACACGGGCGGGTGATGCATATACATATTCATATCCTGCATATTCTATGCTAAAAATTTAAAATTATAAAAATGTAAACACTAAGCCTGCTAACCAAATTTTGTTGTATCTATTACCTGTGTTGTGCAAATTGTGTTGTGATGAGTTTCTCTTTTTCACAACCTTTATGCTTCTCATTATTATTAATTATTATTATTATTATTATATTTTTTCAAAGATTGTGATACTGTTTGTTATTATATATTTTACTCACATAATCTTTTGCATAAAATAAACAACTCAACATCATCCATGTTCTATTAACTTACTGGCTGCCTTGTGTCTTTTTATATAATAATAATATGTTAATGTAGATAATGGGTCACACCCGAAAGGTCCAGGAATCAATTCCCACGGCAGGACATAAGTTTATGGGCACCGCCGCTTCCTTCCCTCTAATGCACCTGTTATTTTACCACTAAATAGGTGCCCCGTGTGGTATGCAATTGTTGTGGGTTGCAACCTGAGGAAGGTCAGTACCTGGCCTTGGAGGACCCGGCTACACCTAACACCCTTCAAGTCCCCCAACTATGGAAAACATACGTGATCGTATCGCGATACTGCCGCTGAAAAGCTATGCTTCATCTCGTTATCTTAAGCATTATTGCTAACCATTTTTAAACAAATATGAAATAAAAATCCGTTTGTCATATCTGAAAAACTTATGATATTAATCGTAATAAAAATGATACAAATGAGTTGTTGGTGGTTGTGTTGAGATAACCTCGTCCCGGCCACACTGCATCACTGTACCTTTGCCAATGTAACTTAGGTCACTATAACATCACAGGTTGGCCCGGCGATGGCAGTATACTATTATTAAACCTCAGTAAACATATATGCTTACTAAGGTTTGTAAAGTTTATAGTAAACATTTCGCTTTTGTCGAGTGAATTCAATATTTGCTTGAATCCTGTCAGTTCTATTACTTCTAGCACAGAAACTAAGTGTCCCCAGCAGTCCCTTATACCTCTGCCCTTTAAGGTCAGGAACAAGTCGGGCAGTGCGCGTGCCTTTGAAGTTATGGAGGAGGTGGCCCTCGAGGCATCTTTCCCTGCATTTCACTTCTTGACCACTTTGCATGGAAACTAGTTTCGTGAACTCGCTTGCTTTTCCAACATTACCCGGCGTCCTCTTGTCAAATTTTCTAGCCAATTTAAACAAAGCTGAGTTCCCATCGTGACGATTTTCCTAGGTATATTTGGCGTATAAATCATATTGACTCCGATGCTTCTCTAAAATGGCCAGATTTAACCTGGCCCTTATAATCTAGTTCTCCAACGTCAAGCATTAGCCTTCTTGCAAACTTCCGTACTTTCCTAATTTCTTTTTTAGCTTCACAAAATTCATATTTTATATCGGTGTTGTGTATTCGTGTAATGATCTAGCACAAGCTGTGTAAATTGCATAAGTATTGTGAACTTTGTTGAAGGAATCATTTCTCAAAGATTCCTAGTTACCTTGCACTTTAGAGACTTTACCTCTTATAAGGTCCCCCATGTATCTGCCCACTCCTGGAATTTGTTAAGGTCTTCCGGCAGCACGATATAGCCCCCTTCATTTTAATTTCATCATTAACGTTGTGTCTACAAACATTGACACATACGAACACAATCCCTCAGGTAGGTCATTCATATACATTTGGAATAGTAACGGGTCTAGGACCGATCCTTGAGGGGTACTGCAAACTATATTCCTCTAACCTGAAATTCTCTGTTATCCTTTGATCAAAATAATGTAAGTAACCTAATGATTTTCTGTTTGTAAATAACGTTACTGGGAGAACTAGTCGATATAGTCTGCTTTACCAGGATGATGGCAGGAGTCATCATCCTGGTCCATGATGGATTATGATGACGGTCCATGATGGATTATAATGACGGCCCATGATGGTCCATGAAACGAATTCCATATTGGACTTCGTTTCTTAATCGTGCACCAAATCGTGGTAGCCTGTGTTTACATTTATTAAACATTTTATGAGCTCTGAAGGACTATGAGATGTTTATAGAAATAATAACCTTGGGTTGAAAAGTTTCAATGCCCCTAAACTATTTAATGAATGTAAGCAACGCTGCCATAATTGTTGAAAGATGTACAGGTTTCGTAAGTGGATGCATAAATGCTTACTGAATCTTGGCCCAGGTGTGCGCGCTACGTGCGTGGCGAATAGGAGTCAAATAACCAAGTTCAAGACAAAAACTCACGCCAACGCGACTTGGAAAAACACAAAATTAGGAATTAGTTACACAAATATCAATAATCGTTGTTAAAGATTCGCTACCCTGAACAAAAAGTTCCAAGTAGCACGGGCTATGGTGAACCCGTAGGATCAATAATCCATACGGCAAAATTTAAACCCGAAAGATCCCTTCACGAGGAACAGTAAGAAATATTAGCCGCACAGATTCACACAGCTTGTAGTGGGTGTTGTGTGCTAATGTAGATTTGATAGACAAAACGTTACATTGACTTTACTGTAGAACTAATGAAGAGTTCTTCACTCACATAATTATCGAAAAAAAGGCGCAAGCTGGGAAGACTGACTTAACTGTAGAACTAAAGAATTCACATGAAACGTATCTACAGTACTGCTTACCTTACCAAACATACGGTGGCGTCCTTCGGTATAGTCTCCACACACTAGGAATCTCACAGCTTATAGCTGCTGGCAGGCAAGCCATGTGCGAGGGGCAGAGCTCCCTCGTAAGAGATCTTTACCCCAAGCTTTGCTTCCTGCCAACCACGAACGCAAACCTCACTATAAACCATAGAAAACTTAAATTTACTGCATTGTCACAGTGCTTAGTTCTACAGCTATCCATCAGTAATGGCAGCGAGACTCGTATAGGAGTACGAACAACTGAGGTGCCCACCACTTACCTAAAGTGGTTTATGGACTATAGTGGTGGCCCTAATGATACCTCCCGCGGCGGGAGGATCATTAGGATCACTACTACAGCTTACTGATCAACCAGCAAGTTATCTCTAGTCCTAAATATGTATCAGGAATAACGATATAAATATTCCAGCGCCAAATAAGTTCACAGATCGTATAGCACTCTCCGGATTCCCGTGTCTAGTACACACTACTGATTGAGCTTTCAAACCAATGGTCGCCGAGAAAAACATTGGCAGGCTTGCGTAGCCAATGAGAGCGTCTCTCCACGAGTTTCACATCTAAGCGAGGCGAGTTTCCTGTTTGTTTACATGCGTGACTTGACGACGTTAACGACGGAAATGCGTACACAAACTAGGCTCAACCCTGTCGACCGTAGTTCGAGTGAATTTCGGGCTGTTTCAGCCAGAGTAACCTTAACCGAAAAAAATATATACATGATTAAACTTGAAAGTGTTAGCCTAGTTATAGTACCAATGCACCCAGTGTTCCAACATGATCAATATTTTCAATATTTCCACTTTCAAAACATAAGGTATTAAGTTCAATAAAAATCTGAAAACAATTAATATTTGTAAGACTTCATCCCGTGTACTGAAGTATTATCTTCATGAAGTGTATATGTAAAAATTAGTACACCAAGTGCATAGTAATCATAATTTACAGCCATCCATATATCTATATCTACAAGGAAGAATGTGTTTGTCCAAGTCCACTACGGGCTCACCATAGCCTGTGCTACTTGCAACTTTTGTTCCAAGTAGCTGAATCTATACCAACAGTCTGTCTGACGTTGAAGCCAGACGCTTGGGGCTAGCCACATTAAATTTAGCAGGATTAATAATGATTTTATCGCGAGTGTCATAGGGAGTCCGGAATAGTCCCAGTATTCCCCTGAGTGGGGTGCACAGTCTCTGACTCCGTCACAAACTCTGTGAATGTGAAATTTTCTGCCCCAAGTTCATATACTTTCAACATTAGTTTCAGTAAGTAAATTCAGATATTGACTGGAGGTTAGGTGAATGGGATGGGAAGAGAGAAATGCAGAGACAAACAAGAGACCGGGTACCCCAGCTAGTACCTGATAAGTGCTATTGGGGGAGTGTTTCATACATCAACAAGTGTACCCTATTTCTCAATGTATATACACTGAAAGTTTACTTTTGTCCTGGACTATGTTCAGGGTTAAAGTTTACCGGCTGGTTGGTCAGAATGCTAGTGTCAAGGCCTTAATAACCATCAAGAAGTTGAGAGGACTTCAGCCTACCACTAAACCATGTTTCGGCATTTGCTGCTTCATGTTCACCATATCTTGGGACGTTCAGATGCACTCTCGGAAGAAGAGCATTGTTTGACTTATTAAATGTACCGAGTACGGACGAGGTATCGATAGTAATATGTATCATCATGAACTTGCTGGAGTTTGCTTTGAACAGCTGAGTAAGGCCACATATACAGAACGTATTTTCCCTTCTGGTGAAGATTGAACCGACAACTCATACAGGACCCAGTAAGGATGTCATCACTTAGTCTATCTGGTTCCTTCCTTACCAACAGCCAGCTCTGAAATGAAGCCCCTGTTAGACTCCATAAGGAACCCGCCAAAAGTGCCTGTTGGATCTAAACACACATGCGCCTTCCATCCTTATTTCTACGCTTGAATGCTGTAGCCGCTTTCTAACCTTGTCTATGTAGGACAGACGAAAATGTATATATGCTGGTTAGTATTGTATAAATGTAGGGATATATATGAGTGAAGTTTAGCCTAAGGAAACACCTAGGCAAGTATAAAAACTGGGCTGTTGATTTGTAGAACAAATTACCGGGGTTACCTTGAGGTTACCTTGAGGTGATTTCAGGGCTTAGCGTCCCCGAGGCCCGGTCGCCGACCAGGGCTCCTGGTTGCTGGACTGATCAACCAGGCTGTTCGACGCTTTTGCTCGCAGCCTGACGTATGAATCACAGCCTGGTTGATAACTGGGGTAACATAATAAATTGCTTCAAGCGTAGGTTAGACACATATGAATGAGCTTGGGTGGATATAGATAGGTAGCTGCCTTGTACAAGACTTAAGCAGTTTCATTTATTCTTATGTCTGTAATAGGAAATAAACTAAGAGGAAAAAACCTATTCGTCACGAGAAGGTTGCCAGATGTCTCAAGGGGAATACACATTGCTGTACGGAGGATATTGTGGTCGCTGTGGGAAGTATACACACACCTCTCAAGCATGCGTCATACCGTGGACAAGACCTTGTTGTTTAGAAAGCGAGCCATATATATAATACTTAGGCAATAGGTTACCTATTCTATATTATTGCTTGAGTTGTAGTACAGGGGTCAGATGTCCTGTACCAACCTGTGTAAAAAAAAAACTACTTCATAGATATTTTTGTCTAACTATATAATTCCAATCATGCAAAATTTATTTGAATACTTTCATTAATTGTATTACTTATTTGAAGTGTGTTTGGTACATCCATGTGTGAGAAAGGCAGTGTGTGTAAAGCACCTTAGCACGTTGCTATTTTGTCGCTTTGTACCCATACAATAATATAATTAAATGGGTACAATTCCTACCCACACAATACCCATAATATTTATAATAATTTCTGCATTGTTTGTATACCTGTAGGATGTTTCGTTACAATTATTAATTTGTCTATTATTCAACCTACACCTTTGGATTGAAAATTTATTTTACATTAAATGTAATAATTGATTGCTTTAGTTTACAGAGTTTGTAAGATTTTGGATATGTTGGGGTGGAGTTATCATAATTTACACAACATAATTTAGGTATTACAATATGGTTTTACGACACTTGGCAACACTATAAGAGCAGTGTGATCAATGACCGTATCATCAAACGCTATGGTCAAAAACAAAAATAAATAGCGTTTTCTTCGGGCTTACGTAGAATTGGTTTGGTTAAAATATAAAATAAGATAGCATAACCTCTCAGCTGTCAGTTCTCATTTTCTTTCAATCTAACAAAAGAAAACGTGAATATTTGTCCTACTGCTGTATGGTTTCAGAGTGACGAAGACAGTAAGCACGTTAGGATAATCGACCTCCTCCCTAGGCCAACAGTTTACCATTCCAGGGAAGCAACTCCCAACAGGTGCCTAAGTCCCGGCTACCTATTTACAGCTGCAAGTCAGCCGTTAGTTTAGTTCATTTATTAGACCACACACTAGAAAGTGAAAGGACGACGACGTTTTGGTCCGTCCTGGACCATTCTCAGTCGACTTGAGAATAGTCCAGGACGGACTGAAACGTCGTCGTCCCTTCACTTTCTAGTGTGTGGTCTGGTCAACGAATTCTGGTGTGTTTTGTATTCTATATATTTGGTTTTGTTACGCTTAAGCACCCCCCATACCCCTCCTGTGGGCGGTAGAGGCAAATAAATTACTGAGGAACTACATTGGGCACAGGAACTAAAACCCAAAATTCATTTAGCCAATCAAGTTACAGTCCTGATAAGTTAGTTACACATTTTCTTGAATATATCACAAGGGGTTCCTGAACTCTACTAGCCGTTCCTGCACTCTGCATGTCCCTTACTCTACCTTTTAATACTTGGAATAAATTTGTGTATATTCAAACTTCTCTACGCAGCTTTAAAGATTTACCTAAGTGTAAGCGGCCTTATTTCATTCATGGGAAAGTTTAATATTTGAAGTCATTCATATAATACACACAACATATTGTGTAATCTTGTCAGGATGCAGGACAGGCACCGCGTGACAGGAAGGGAGAAACTCCTGTCGAAACAACCCTGAATTACAAGTTTGGCCTTGAATGAGAGAGGAGGGGGGACGGAGGGAGGAAAGAAGAGAGACAGGTAGAAGGGAGCGAGGGGAAGGAAGAGAAAAGGGCAAAGGGAGGGGAGGAAGAAAGAAGGGGAGAGTAGGAAGAGAGGGAGGAAGGGAGGGGAGGAGGAGAGGGGGGAAAGGACGGTAGAAAAATAGAGAGGCGGGGAAAGGAGAAGAGGAAGACGGGGGAAGGGAAAAAGCAAGAGAGAGAGAGAGAGAGAGAGAGAGTAAGAGAGAGAGAGAGAGAGAGAGAGAGAGAGAGAGAGAGAGAGAGAGAGAGAGAGAGAGAGAGAGAGAGAGAGAGAGAGAGAGAGAGAGAGAGAGAGAGAGAGAGAGAGAGAGATCATTACTATTACAACAACAACTATTTCAATACTACTACTCAGCTACTAATAGTCCTAACAATACTATTTCCACCCTACAATGCAACCATGTTTTGTCCTCTGACATACGAGACGCCAGAGAGAACATTAGACTTCTTTTTTGTCTTGAGCATTAATTCAAATTATTACGGAGCCAGGCCCCTTTGTCATCTCCGTAGGGAAAAGGTTCCCCAGCAATTATCTCTGAGGAACAGTCAGCTGGGAGAGGGAAGGCTCTTCAAGTCAGGCGCAGCCCAGGATTCATCAAGCTTTTTACGCAACCACATACGAGGCCTGAATATCTTTTAATAATTATGTAGGCATTGTTTACATTTATTATACAGTTCACAAGTTTCGAAACTTCACAGTCGAATGTTAATATTTTTATAAACAGGTTCCTAGTGCTTCAAAGCTCATAAACTGTTTAATAAATGTAAAAGTCGTCAAGATTGAAGAAAGATGTTCAGGTTTCGTAAGTGGATGCTTAACTGCTTAATGAATCTTGACCCAGGTGGCAGATCAACGGTTGGAAGAATCCCCTCTTCCCCTACAGTCAACTCGGTAGGTAAAGGTATCCCCAACAGTCAACTCTGTGGATAAAGGTACCTCTGAACTCGAGAGGCAAGGGTACTCCCCCCAACAGTCAACTCGATGGGTAAAGATGCCCCCAAAAGTGAACTCGTTTGGGAAAAGTAGCCCAAAGTCAGCTCGGTAGGGGGAGTGGGGGAACAGAGCCCAACAGTAAATTGGCTGAAGGCTAACAAGGAAGTCTACATTACAAATATCGATATATCAGTACAATTCCTAATCGCGACACGTTCCTGATACTGACGTGCAGTCAATTACACATCATGGCGTGGGAAAACTGCCTAGAATCCTACATATTATACTCGTATATTTCTAAAAAAAAAAAATTGCCTAGAAGCCTACAAAATATTCAGCCTAGAAGCGTATAAAATATACAGCTTAGAATTCTACATAATAAAATGCCTGGAATCCTACATAATAAACTGTTTGGAATCCTACATAATAAACTGTTTGGAAACCTACATAATAAACTGTTTGGAAACCTACATAATAAACTGCCTGGAAACCTACATAATAAACTGCCTGGAAACCTACATAATAAACTGCCTGGAATCCTACATAATAAACTGTTTGGAAACCTACATAATAAACTGTTTGGAAACCTACATAATAAACTGTTTGGAATCCTATATAATAAACTGTCTAATATCGTACAGATAATTAATTGTAAAAATCATAGATAAATAACAAATATTTTGGAAGTGCTTTACTTAGGAATACAAAAAAAAATGCGAACCTGTCCTGATTTAAGATAAATAAAATCATCCGAAACTCGAAAGATGTAGCAAACATCATTTAAGGAAACAACCACAACCACACGACATTACCCCTTTATAGACCGAAGAAAACAAGAACAAAAAACTACAACAAAATGTAAACACTACAAAACAAGAACAAACAAAAATGACTATAAGGAACCGTGGGCTGTGTATGTTCGTGTGTTCGTATCCGCACCGCCCGTGTTGCCAGCTTGTCGACTCTCTAATCCTTGGCCGCGCTTCTCTCAGTGTGCAAGTGGAGCTGTCTCTGGCAGGTGTTCTGTCCTCTGTCCCATCTTTACACGTCTGCTTTTTCGACTGTCACGCAATTTCGTTTTATACTCCAGAAAGTGAGAGGTAAGGCTATACCAACGTACGTTTCACGAGTGACTGTAGTGTGGATGAATAATAAAGATTTGATTTAGAGGGATGAAGTTTACCTCCTGCCTCCCGTGGTAGGACAGGTAACCAACCATGCGGGTCCTGCTGGACTACTTGGTGTATAAAGGTGGGGGGAAGGAGAGGCTGTAGGTCATACTGCCACATGTGAGATTGCCGGTGATATATTGGAAGTGATATAGATTGATATAATAGTTTCGTTGGCATCTTTTATTGCTATTTCTATTTATAAAGTACTTTGGCAGAGGTAGGAACGAGATACAGTAATTCTAACATATTACATATATATAAATTTGTCTGGGGATGGGCATCCATTGTATATATACAGTACATATTGGGCTTATATCGAGGTCCTCCCAAGGTCTATCTACTGACCCTCCTCAGGATGCAACCCCACGTCAAGCTTACTACCTCATGGGTACCTATTTACCGCTAGAAGAACAGATGCATTAAGTGGTAGGAAACTTGCCAACCACATCTGCCCCACCCGAGATTCGAACCCAAAATTCCCAATTGAGAGTAGAGAACGAACCCAGATATTACCACACTATATTGGTTTCTTCACTCGTCTTCTTACGTAATTCACATGACTACCACTGTATTTAGTGGTAAAACCTGTTGCTCGAGAAGGTACCCCATGCTTATATATGAAAGATGGCAACTATATGTACCTCAACGTGCCTGTGTCAAATATTGTCTACCTTGTTTTTGTATAATACTCGAGGAATCTGTCTGAGGATATTCCTTGGGCAAGTCCTATGGCACTAATGCAATCTTGATATATTGCACAAACAATATTTAATGTATTTAAGGCTAAACTAGTTGGTCATTATAGATTCGTATCCCGTGCCCTCCCACACGCCGGCGCGTAATGGGTTGAGGGTGTGGTTGAACCAGTGCACATTACAGGCAACAATGTTGAAATGCATCTCCTCCAACAACTGAAAAGGAAGAAACGTACGTCCTGAACCATCATAAAGTGTAATGGTCCAAAACTGACCGAAACTTGTTCATTTTCAGTTGTGGGTTCAACTCTTCTGCCACGTTCTGACTCATCGTATGCACATACTTCATTTAGTTTTAAGTATTATCCAACAAAACGTTTATAGAGATTTCTTAACTATATTTACGTTATGCCCGAAACGCTCTCCGTATTAGTGGTTTTATGTAATGTACATTTCTTGTTTTCTCCACTGTTTCCTGTGACAATTTTGCTTTTATATAGTTATTATTATATTTAAAGAAAATAACCTAAGAATGGCCTAAAATTGTTCAGGTCAGGACAGTAGTATCAAATTTAGTTAAAACTGTAATATGAAGTTTTTTTTTAATATAAACAGACGAGAGTTGTGAAGTAATAACGTACTTGAGGGACAACGTCAACTTGCATCGCATGGACTTAAAAAATTATATTCTTCAGACCTATGCGTCATTGCTTCAAATAACGGATGACGAATCCTCCTGACTCGCCCAGATGGTACTTATATTGTCGGTATTGGGCACGCCTTCCTGAACTTTGCGTTACCGGGGGGGGGGGGGTGGCGCGTGTGCGATCATAATCTTTAACTTTATTTACATAACCTTCAACTTTGGTAAGCAGGACGGACGTTAGTCATGCCTTAAACTTTTTTTCAATATTTAAATGAATTTGTTAAACAGACGTGCCAGTATTTGTACCGGCATCTGCTTCCGGTAATGTCAATTTAACCTGTTTAACCGGTCGTTGCGGGAAGCTTCTACAGGCTTACGATATTTGGCCAGTTCTTCAGAGGCAACTCTGCTTGAATATTGAAATACACAAGCAGAGTACCCTGTCCTCCAGGGTACTATGCTTGCTCCTGTACTTTTTCTCATTCTATATGTAAAAGTTCCGGGATGGGGAAGAACTAAGGGGCCCCTAGGCTGAGACGCACGCAGCTTGACACAAAGCCTTGACTACAGTGGGTGGGCAAATGAAGCATTTTAAAGCGTGTGCTGGAATATTAAAGCGGCTAGATTGTTAACGGTTCAGACAGGTAGCAATTAGCATAGATAAAACATTATAAAATTGATTTTTGCTTCCCTGCTTTGGATTGTGCGTGATTCCACAGGGTGTCTGGAGATAAATGAAGGGATGAAGTGTGCGAGAAAATGTGTACTGTGGGAACTTAGGGTTTAGGTCCCACGTCTTAACATGTATGTATTGTGCTAGGTTACTAAGGTTTTGTTATATAACTTTCTATATACTTTCCAACGGTTTTTATAGCATTAATAGGTTTTAGGTTTAAGTGGAAAAAATACTAGTTGGCAACTCCCATATTACCCGGTTTTGTTGGGTAGTCGACGCGACAATCAAAATGAAAGTAATAATGTAGGCTTTCTAATGGCAATAATAATAAAAAAATATAAAATTACCAAAAAATCGCAACCATTAACGTATAATGCATATAGGTATGTTTATAATAAGCAAACGTTACTTTTCTATTAGATTGGTAATAGATAATCCTATTAGCTACCGTGACAATTATATTTTCCGCCTTGTACGGAACGGAAGAATCTAAGGAACGATATTGTATGCCATACGCGTCTGGCTGTGACGATTTAGTGGTTTTGCGTTTCACTTAAACATTTGTGTTTTTTGGGTAAAATTATATGGCAAGAATACCTTGAGATAAAAATGATGCGAGTAGGTGTGCAACCTGTCCTCTTACAAATTACGTCTGAATTTTGCCCGTTTGCCCGTAGGACCAAAAATGGACGTAATTTGGAAAAAAATATAATTGAAATACCATTTTGGATTTTTTTTTTAAACGGTAAGTTTGAGGGTCCTCTGATAGGTAGGAGGGCAGGAAATTCTCCTAAGGTTTCAAAACTTCATGGGAAAAAAACGTTAATTGAAAGTTTCCTCTCCTAACCTGACCGAGTAAGCCGGTGGACTCAAACAGAAAACGGGACAGTACGTTACTTTCGTGAACAGGTTTCATTTCAAACTGGTCCATTTTTGGCCATAGCGCGCATATGAGCGAAAATCGACGTTATTTTTATGAGGACGGGTTGAGGTGTGCATGGGACCAACATTTGGATAAAAATGTCTAGAGCAGCCAACTTCGTAAAATTATAGTTTCCTGATGTTAAACTGATATCGGTCACAGATTAGGTTATTTATTTTGTATTCACTATTCCTGGTGTAGAGAAGTGCTAGAAGACTTATCCCTATAGCGCCTAGGAAATGAATCAGATTAGTAAAAATAAATCTAGAATCTTATATTGAATGACATGAAATTTATAATGTCTAAAGTACTGACGTATATTTAAAAATATTTATGGAACCCTAATACCTGTATGTATTTCCAATTTATTGGTGTTCAGGTACGTGGAACTACACAAGTTGACAATGCTTAACCATGAGGATTTGTTCGTCCGTTTTTTTCCCCAAAGATGTTGAAGGCCAAATGGTTGTAAAATATTAATGCAACATTACAGATTACGTCATGACTGCCTCACCATGCCATAGAGCCGGACCTTGTACTCAAATACCATCCATCCATGCAATGGTAACTTCCGCATTCAACCCCACCATTATCTGGGAGGGAGCGGGCCTCCCCCCTTGTCTTCTTCCTACCACCCAAAGACGAACAAGGGCTAAATGAACAAATCCACAAGGGCCGTGATGCAATAGACTTAAGACAGCGTCTGGGATCATCCCGGATGTAAGTTAGAATCCTCACCACGGCCCTTGTGGATTTGTTCATTTGATACATCACGCTATTGTGAATTGTGTGTGTAAGGGCTAAATCCTTATAAGTAAAGAGGCAAATCGTAGGCACGTATTAAGACTATGGCCACAACACCTCCCCTCCCCCTCCCCCTAGTCTACACACTGGAGGTGTACAAGACAAGACATGACATGACTCACTCTTGAGGCCCCTCATTATAAGTGTCCTTGGTGACTCCTGGTACGGTCTCCCCCACAACACATTACCACCCAGCACATGTAGCTTGGCTGTCATTGTTATTTTTCCTGCTCGTCTGCAGCCGAACGTACATATTACATGTATCCTGACTTGCTTTTTTTTCGTAACTTGTGTTCACTGTTTAAGTAACGTGGGCAGAATCCTGCTAGCCTAGTGGGTGGTTTCAATATGATGTTATTTGCATATTTTAACTACACTGGATAGTAAAACATGAAATACAGGCAACTGTAATTACCGATGCTATAGATAACCTTTGTTACCCCAGATTACTTCGTTGGATAACTTGACGGAATTGTCACAGAAAATAAGTAGAGTAAAAAAAAAAATTGAGTGCTTGATACAAAAAGTAGCGTGGGTTCCCGGAGAACTTCAGTGACACTGGGGGGGGGGGGACTGGGACCATGTGAAATGAAGTTTTAGCTATACCTAGTTGCGAGATAGGCAATTAACTTTACCTACTTACCCTGACGGAAAAGGTTCTTCGTGGCCACATCGTTTAACCTGACTTTAAGAAGTGTTTAACAACTTTTTATGGTTTTATTCTCATGTGGACTTCTCAAGAGTAATACACTTTGCAAACTGATACTTTTTCTAAAGTTTCAAGCATAATAAATTCAACCCCCAAGACACACTAGTTGTAGCTTAGTTTAAAGTTAAAATTCCGACCGTTCATTTGAGATTTATCTTCATATGACTAAATATAGCCTAAACCTTCCCGTATATATTTTCAGAATACGGCTAAACAAGCTTCAAATAAAAATAATTTTAGATTAAATTTATCACTGGATAATAGTCTAGAAATGTTATGAGTGTAAGGTATTTATCTCACTTGACGTATGCTCACCACCAATATGTTGCAAGTCGGTGGGGACTAGGACAGGTGTGGAGCGGTGAGGGGGGATGACTCGCACCTGCTTCATGTTTAATGCAAGTTTCTTTACCTCGCACTTTTGCTTTAATATGCATTCTTTCCGAATGTTTAAATAATATTACCTTTTAAATGTT